GGTGTTGGAGCCTGCATCCCGGCTCTGCTACTTTATAGCTGTGTGACACTGAATAATCTACTTCATCTCTCTTTGCAGCTGCTCAGTCAGGAGCCTGAGATCTGAGAATCCAGCTTGAAGCCAGCCCAGGCAGACAAATCTGATAGACATTCATCTCCAACTAAACAGCAAGAAAGGTGGAAATGAGGGGCTGGGAAGGTGGCTCAGTGGTAGAGCGCTTGCCTTGCATTCATGAGGCCCTGGGTTCGATTTCTCAGCACCACATAAACAGAAAAAGCTAGAAGTGGGCTGGGAAGGTGACTGGTAGAACGCTTGACTAGCGTGTGCGAAGCCCTGGGTTCTATTCCTCAGCACCACATACACAGAAAAAGCCGGAAGTGGCGCTGTGGCTCAAGTGGTAGAGTGCTAGCCTTGAGCTGAAGAGCTCAGGGACAGCACCCAGGCCCAGAGTTCAAGCTCACAAGTGCCAATAATAATAATAATAATAATAATAAAGCTGGAAAAGAGGTGGGCGCTGGTGGCTCATACCTGTAATCCTAACTATTCAGAAGGCTTAGATCTGAGGATTGCAGCTCAAAGACAGCCGGGACAGGAAAGTCCATGAGACTCTTATCTCCAAATAAGCAGCCCCCAAAAAAACCACAAGTGGAGTTATGGCTCAAGTGGAAGAGTGCCAGCTTTGAGCAGAAAGCCCAGTAAGAACATGAGGACCTGAGTTCAAGCCCCAGTACATACACACACAGAGGGAGGGGAGGAGGAGGCTGGAGAGAAAGATTGAGATCAGTTTGGATTTATTTGGGTGAGTAAAAACCTTATTCAGGAAAGTTGTTTTTTTTTTTTGAACGTGTGGAGGTCACTCTCAGAGAAACAGGCCAGGCAGAGTATATGACTAAGCTCTAGAAGAACACCGAAAAGGCTTGAACCCAAGCGGTAGAAGTGGGGCAGAATCAAGGGAGAGCACTTGAGATATTTAAGCAAGTGTGTGTTCACAATATCCAGTACTTGAGAATCTGAGGCAGAAAGATATGCTTGAGCCCAGTTCAGGACAAGCCTGAATTTAAAGAAGCAGAGAATTGGGAAGATAGACACAAAGAATTAGGAAAAGAGAGAGAGAGAGATTGATTTGAAGAGAGATTGAGGTTTAAAGAGTGAGAAAGATTTGAGAGAATGAGGAAATATTTCCTAATGCTGTTACTGAATGTGTCCTAGGAATGACGTTAGGGAATAGTGAGAGCAAAGAGCTGAAGGAATTGTTCTTCAACTCCTAGCAGAGGCAGACTGACCCACATAGATAAGGAAGGTCAAATTGAGTAGTACTGCAGGCTGTCTTGAGAGAGTTCCATGCTTGTAAAGTCAGAAAATTGACTAATTGAAAAAGCATTTCAATTTTAAGTGTCTCTGTCATCTACCTCAAAGATCCTTTGATGTCCTTTAATTGTTATTTTGAGCTAGTCTCTGGTGTCTCAGGCCTGTAATCCTAGCTATTCAGGAGGCTGAGATTTGAGGATTGTGGTTCAAAGCCAGCCCAGGCAGAAAAGGGTAAAGTGCCAGCCTTTAGCTGAAAAAGCCAAGCTAAGGTCTTGCGTTCAAGCCTCAGTAGCAGTACACACACACACACACACACACACACACACACACACACACACACATTGTTATTTTGGTTAAAACACAGTACAATATTTTTCTACATACTCTGACTTTTACAGTGTAGTGTAGAGATTTAGACAGAGCTCATTTCTACCACTTACTAGTTCATGATGTTGGACAAGTTATTGGATTCTCTAAGGACATGTTAGTGATCAGAATGAAGACGGGCTAGCCTGGGACATGAGTGGGTAGGAGACAGATCCTACAGAACCTTGTGTGTTACCAAAGCAGTTTTGGACTTAGTTCAACTGGAAGCTATTGAAGTTGGATCCTAACCCTCCCCCAATACCTTTTATTAATGCAGGAACTGGGACTTAAACCTAGGGCCTTGGCTTCCGTTAGCTGGACTTTGTCTTAGCTTTTCACTTAAGGCTGGCATTTTAACAGTTGAACCACAGTTCTACTTCTAGTTTTTCTCCTGGTTAATTGGAAATAAGAGTGTTAACAGGGCTGGGAAGGTGGCTCAGTGGTAGAGTGCTCGCCTTGCATGCATGAGGCCCTGGGATCGATTCCTCACCACCACATAAACAGAAAAAGACGGAAGTGGCGCTGTAGCTCAAGTGGTAGAGTGCTAGCCTTGAGCTGAAGAGCTGAGGGACAGCACCCAGGCCCAGAGTTCAGGCCCCACA